CAAATGAGAAAACAGCAGAAGACCCTACTAGTCTTAAACTAGGGACAGAAAGGCTGCTAAGGTTAGTGAGATGAACGAGGCTTGATAGGACCGCGAAATCCACACTTCGAGAGTGAATGGAGAGTGCTGTGAGAGAAGTAAGGTTTAGAAGTTCTGGAACCTGAAGGACTGACGCATCGTCCACAGTCAGCTCTTGTAGGTGTGGTAGCTGGAAGAAGGAAGTTGGCAGCCTGAATCTACGAGTCCGACAAAACAGCGAAAGATCCTCCAGTACAGTGCAGTGGCGGAAGAAATGGTCGAAGCCAAGATCAGTTTCCTGCGTTTGCGTGGAGCATATCTCAAAGTGGAACGACTTCAGCTTACTGCAGGCGATGTGAGCAAAAGCGGAATCGACTAAAGTCGTCACTTTTCCGAGGTGCAGACGCGTCAGATTCGGAAAGAACGTGATGAAACTTTGGAGTTCTTGGGCAGAACCACCTGATTTCATGACTAACGTGGATACATGAAGCTTGGCCAGGCGACGCCATCTCCTGCAAATGGACGCTATCAGGAGATTGTGAGTGGTGTTTCCAAAGACAGGAGGTTCCGGCGACGGAGGGATAATGTCCGGGTAATAGAGCTCGTCTAGGTCAGGGCTTCGAGAATAGGTACTACGGGAAATGCGTTTGAGCAGCATGAGCGAGGACCCCCTACCATAAAAATGAGCAAGATAATGTTTGTGTGCATTATACGAGGAATCAGAAAACCAGAATATCCTAACAAGAATCTCGTCAGGAAGATGATCGATGCGCGTTGGAATCTTCATATTGCGCTATTAGGAGAAGGAAAGGAAACCTACTAACGTCGGGAATCAGGAACTCTACTAATTTGAGACAGACTTGGAGATCAGTGCCTGCCGAGGTGATCATTTTCGTGCAATCTCCAGCAATCCGCTCCGCACCCTCAGAACCCGCGGGAGGTTTGGGGTTCAGGTCGCAACGCTGGGAGGCGAAGGGGCCTCGGCAAGCCCAGCGAAAGTAACAGTAGGCAACGACCGGCTGAGATTGGTTGTTGTATGCCCTTCGGAAGCCACAGGCGGTCGAAATTGAGGGGAAGGCGGACTAGTATCACGGTTACGTTGGGTCTGCGAAATTTGAACCCCGGGGGTGGACGCGGAGGCGGGGGAATGGGGAGTTTTGCCCGACGGGCTGATTTCAACATTCCATGCTGCGGAGAGCGGGGGGAGGGTGTTGGGGAACAGAGAGAGAGGTTTGATGAGAGAAACCCGTTATCCGACGTTCAACGAGGAGCATCGCGATTTCACTCCAAGTGCCACAAGCGGGATTTTCTTGTCATTATTTCCTTCACCGTGGCATTGAGGCGACGACAGATTCTTCGCGCAGCCAACTAACGCGGGTGGAATGGCAACCTCGTTTCTTTTCGTCCCTTTTTATTTTCAGAGTAAACCGTTTCTGTCTCTTTATCGCGCAACTCACTCCGCCATTAGCGCCACAGAATGAGAATCATCACCCTGGAGCACCTTCAACAAGTGTCCAGGCGCTTCTTTCGTGGCTGCAGCATCAGTCGCTACCACTCTCCAACTACCCTAATAAGTCTCCGTCTAGTGACTCCCTCTTCGGCCTCTCGGCGACGGTGCCTTAGAGTTTGCGCCGCTGTCCATAGTAACACACACACCCAGGGCTAGACTGTCCTTACTAGCAGCTCCCCGGTAGGATTGTATGGTGTGAATGCGGTGCATGCGAACGATATGCCCAACGGAAGTGTGGAGTCGTCACTGCAAATGTTCCATCACTCTCGACGTCAGTCGATTCTAAGGATACGAACTGCTCCTGCAGCTTTAGGAGAGCGACTGGAAAAGCGGAACCGCAGATTTAGGAGGCAGATCGTGCGAGCGAAGGAGAAAGATTGGTCTTCTGTTACTAATGGCGCCTCGGCATCCGAGGGTGAAGCTGCCGGTTCCGCGAGTTATGATCAGTTATGAAATGTTGGCGAGATCGGCGACTCTGTGCACGCACAACAGAAGAAGGATATGGGAGAAGATGAACGCCGGGGATCCGCAGTTTCACAAACCTATATGGGATTCCCGCCTGTAATTCGCTCACCAACCGAACGCGTCGGTCGCAAGCCTTTTCTTGGTGGTCGCCGTTGCCTGTTTAGGCAAATCGCCATTGGCGTCGGTCGGACGACGGCGATCAGCTGCATACATAGACGTTGGGCCTTTCGCGAGACGAGCGGGGGAACCGCCAACCAGCGCAAGCGGCGTTGGTGGCGCTAGTGGCGGCGGAGTGGAGCGCGAGGGGGCGATGAAGGAGGGGCTGCTGATGGGGCCGGCGGGCAATTGACAAGCTGGAAGTTGCCAAGGTGAGACGCGGGTGGAGACGCGTGTGAGATTCACTCAGGAGGCTGGTGAACGAGGGGCGAAGGTGGGGTGAAGGTGATGTGTGTGAGAGGCGAGTTGCGAGTGGCAATGAGCAGTCGCTGTGGCGCGGGGATGTAGGAGAGAGAGTCACTTGATCGCACTGTGAGGGCCGCTGAAGGGTGGAGGTGCTGATGGGCCTGGCGGAGGTTATCGAGGATGCCTTGGGGCTCCGAATTGACCTGCAATACTCCTTTCCCTCCCACCCATGCCCAGCTACCACTACTCTCCCCTCCCCTCATCCCTGACCCCTCCCCTCATCCCTCACCCCTCCCCTCATCCCTGACCCCTCCCCTCATCCCTCACCCCTCCCCTCATCCCTCACCCCTCCCCTCATCCCTCACCCCTCCCCTCATCCCTCACGCCTCCCCTCATGCCTGACCTATCCAGCTCCGCTCCTCGCCTTCTTGCTGTCCCTATTTCCCTCTCGCACCCACTCGCACAACCACACTGCCTCCCAGGGCACCATTTCAGGACCATCGCATACGATCTCCTTACACTCTTTGCTTTACCCTTACGCACTCCAGTTTCCCTTAAACCCTTTCGCTCTTTTACCTACCCCCCCCCCCCTCCCCTTACCCCTCCCCTTACCCCTCCCCTTACCGTTACCCACTCCTCCTCCACTTACCCAACCCCCATCCTCTTACCCTCTCCCTTTACCCATACCCTCTTCCCCTGTCCTCTTCTCCTTCTCCTTCCCCCTCCCCCACCCCGCCCCTGACCCCAATCCCCTACCCCGACGCCAGGCTCTGCCATGACCCTTCTTTGACTCGTCGCCAGCGAATTCATGCGGTCCGATGGGAATGGTTGGGCCTGCGATGCGATGGGCGTGCATGTGTGGGCATCACCACGACCTCGCAGGTATCAAACCAGACGACGGAAGTGCCTCTCCTCGCCAACTTGATGCCTCATCAAGATAATTCCTCGTTGAAATAATGCCTCGCACCCGCCACTTCACCACCGCCACGCCGCTGGAAACGTAATCACTGCCCCCCCTCAAGCTGTGCACCTGAATCTCCTGCACCCCCACTTGTCGCCTGCCTGCCTGCCTCCCAGATGTCCCCTGACTGCCAGAGCCCTCATGGATTTTGACTCGCCCTTTGATTAGCATCACTTGTCGCCCGCCCTCCTGAACCTTCATGCTATTCTCCTCACCATGCCGTTGCTCCATTCCCTCCTTCCGCTCCCTCCCTCTCTCAGCTCCCTCGCCCCCACTCCCCCTCCAGCTCCGCACCTGAAACTCGTAGCTGGCTTCACCCCCATTGCACGCACTGCACTCACCCCACCTACTTCTCTCAGCTTCTACCACTGATTGCCACGTTTTCTCTTCACTCTTTTCAGTACCATCCTGCACGCATTGGTCCTTCCCCTCCTTTCCCTTTCCTTCCCCTCCCCTCCTCCCTTCCCCCTCCCCCCCTCTCCTTCCCACCCACACGGCCCAACTTATCTTCCACAACCCTTTCATAAGGCAATGCCCATTTCCCCTTCGCGGCTCGTTCCAGCTCCGCACTTGCTTCTCCTACACTCACTTCCGACCCACTGATTCCGGCCCTGACGGCACTGTCTCCCACATCTCTCCTCCCCACATGATTCTCATCAAGGCACTGCTCCCCTCCGGTCCCCCGCTTCCTCCCTTTACACCATGTTCCCCATTACCCCCCTTAACTCCTTTCCCCCATTTTCCCGCCTCTTCCCCTCCCTCTTCTCCCCCCACCACCCCTCCCTCCCCCCACCACCTCTCCACTCCACCCCACGGAATTTCATCCTCAGGGCGCTATCCCTCCCTCCCCATGCCCTCCCTCTCACCTTACGGCGGCGGGAACGCTGTTCACGGGGAAAGGCGGCAGACACTGGGGGGTATCGTGTGCCGCTGAGTGCCCTCAGGGCTGCTGAGTGCCCTCAGGGCTGCTGAGTGCCCCAGCAGAGGGAGGAGGAGGTGCGTTCCGTGGGCAACCTTGGGGGTGCGAGCGGGGGGCTGCTGGGTGCCCCCGTGGCAGATTTCTCCCTCAAGGACGAGCAGTGGGAACAGGACGTGAGTCTTCTGGGCAAAAGGAGGTGCGTGTTACGAGGAAGGAGGTGGGCTATAATGGAGCACTGCTGCTGGTCATTGCTGTGTGAAGGAGGTGTGTGGGTGGTGTGACGGACATGGGTTGCTTGTGGTTCAGGACTCAGTAGCAGGCCAGTAGCAGGGCAGTCAGTCTCAGGTCACTCTCAGGTCAGTCTCAGGTCAGTGGCAGGTCAGTTTCAGGTGGATTTGAGCAAGTATTGAAATTGAGTCGATGCGCTCCACTGGTCGATTTGAACCACTTCGATCGAGTCGAGCCAACACCGAGCTTCGAGCCAATCCAGCTCGGCAACAGCATCTCTCTCCCGTGATCTCAGCAAAATCTGAGCATGTCCTGCCTAGCTGTCCAGCTTTCCATGTCTGTGAAAGCTCTGCTGGTTCACCAAACTCTTAAGTCGAACCAAACCAAACGGTTCCTCTTGCTCCTCTGCAGGTTTGAGTCAACCCTTAGATTGCAGCATAGCATTTTACTCAACATAATTCTCAGGCCAGTCTCAGGTGATTCGGTTGTGTTCAAGATTACCCTGCTGCTGAATGCCTTGTGCCTGAAATTCCTAAAGTCCCAGTGACCGAATCCTCTGCGTCAATCCCCTGTGCCTCAATCCCCTGTGCCTGAATCCCCTGTGCCTGAATCCCCTGTGCCTGAATTCCCTGGAGTGAGGCGGATGTTGGGAAGAGGTGGGGAGGCACCAGACAGGTGCCACTCCTTTCAAACCCCACACTCCCCTCATACCCCGCACTCCCCTCATACCCCGCACTCCCCTCATACCCCGCACTCCCCTCATACCCCGCACTCCCCTCATACCCCGCACTCCCCTCATACCCCGCACTCCCCTCATACCCCGCACTCCCCTCATACCCCGCACTCCCCTCATACCCCGCACTCCCCTCATACCCCGCACTCCCCTCATACCCCGCACTCCCCTCATACCCCGCACTCCCCTCATACCCCGCACTCCTCTCATACCCCGCACTCCCCTCATACCCCGCACTCCTCTCATACCCCGCACTCCCCTCATACCCCCAACTCCTCTCATGCACCTCACTTCTCTCATTCCCGCTATTTCTCTCATTTCCCCGCTCCTCTGATACCCCCGACTACTCTCATATCCCCACTCTCCACTCCTCTCATACCCCCCCAATCTATGGCTTGGGACATTCTAAATTTCATGGGACATTCTGCATGTCATGAGGCAGTCACCATAAATATCACGTCATGAATGAAATGTTTGTCATGCCATGAATGAGATGCTTATCATGATAAAAGAATGTTACATCCAACACGCAACTCATCATGCCATGCGGTACGTAACAGGGCAGTGTTAATGGGATAAAGTTGCATACTGGTTGCAACACGATATAAGGAGTGTAGGGACTGATACGGTATTAAGTTTGAGATTGAGGCCAATTAGAGGAGGCAATCAGGGGAGGCAGTCAGTGGAAGCACTCAGGGGAGAAATTTAAGGGTTTCTAATGAAAGGATCCATGTGATTTCAGCCTTCCTGAGCCATTTCATGGAATGTGGTGTCATGGTGCTAATGATGAGGTCATGCATTGACAGAAACTAGTGATAGTACAAGGCTGGGACCTCAGCGTGTCATGTGAAGCGATGCAAGGGTTTGACGGATGACAATGTGATACCGGTAGTATGTTGTGATATGATGATATGGTGTGGAGTGGTTAAGTTTGGTCATGTGTCCATATTGGGATCTGCCTTGTGCATGTTTGGCCGGGGGGAGTCTTCACTTCATACTACTGTATGAAGAATACAAGAGTCAAGCAGCCTCCACGATGTCTCGCTGTACAACATAGACAAAGCAGCAGTAGCACAAAGCTATGCACCATCAGTGTGCCCTGTGCTTCAATTCATGCATAGCTGGGCTGGAAAGTACGGCAGCATTCCATGCTGCTGTGCCACCGCTCCTATGTCAGGGCATGGAAGGGAAAGAAATGTGAGGGGAACGGGAGCATCAGCTCCACCACACCAGCTGACACGTTCACGTCCAACCAACTACTTTCAGCAGGTCACGATTCTAACTCGCAAGAAGAACACAATTTCAGCTCAGTCATCAGCCTTGGAAACTCAGGATGCCTGGTAGGGGGATGACCTATCAGATCTTGTCAAGCTTAGATCCCCAAAAGAGCTCAACTGTAGAGCCTCTTCGAACAGCTTGCAGCCGGTTATCTCAAACTTCTTCAGCCTGGTAAGGCAGTCCAGCCTCCTTGGTACGGAACGGAAGTTGACACAGCTGTCAATCCTAATGCATTCCAGATTCACCAGAGCGGAGACAGACTCTGGGAGCTTTCTGACTCTCGGGCAGTGCTGGATGTTCAACTCTCGCAGGTTTGTCAGCTCCCCCAGGTCATCTGGCAGTTCAGCTCTCGCGCACAGGCCCAGTTCCAGCCTTGTGAGCGAAACCAATCGGGTGAGAGAACAAGGAAGCGGCTGCAGCATTTGAAACCTGACTGAAAGAGACTGGAGGTTGGTCAGCCTTCCCATGTCCTCTGGAAGCATCAGCCGCTCCGAATCCACAATGCACAGAGCTTTGAGAGCAGCAAGGTTTGAAGGTAGTTCTTGCAGCCTGCTGCAGCTGGAAACAATCAGCGTGTGCAGGGACCTGAGTCGGCACAAGGATTCTGGCAGGTGGTCAAGTGGCAGGCGGTCCAGCACCAACGTCTTCAGAACGGGCAGATCTCCAAAATTCTCAGGTAACTCCAGCAGATTGAACTTGGAAATCCTCAGATGCAGCAAGCAGATAAGGGAAGTGAAGTGCTCGGGAAGGTGAGTTAAGAAGCAATCTTCGATACTCAGCTCCTGGAGGCACGGCAGCAGCTCCCCCATGTCATCCGCGATCCCGTTGCACAGGGAGATCCGCAGGCGTTTAAGGCTGGAGCAGACAGATTCTGGAGGAAACACGAAGTTGAGATTCGGACATCGTATGTCCAAAGACTCAAGGGATGACAACTGCGCGAAGGAGAAGTCACCAGGAGGCTGGTCCCTGGAATATCCGCCAATTGTATGGGTAAACGAAAGGCTGGTGAGATTTGGGAAGTGAGCAAGACTCGAAAGCTTTCGAGATTCCGAGGATAAGTGATGGGAGAAACGAGGTACAAGAGCTGAAACGCTGGTTAGAGAAACCGATCGCAGATGCACCAACTGAAAGAAAGAAGCCGGCAGGTAAAACGAGCTTGGCAGGAAGTCCAGCGTCAGATGCTGCAGTTGAGTGCAGTGGCGGAAGAAATGATCCAATCCAGCTCGGGTCAGCAGCTGGTCCCCATACTCGCCACAGTGCTGGGTGCGCACGACCTCCTTTCCAATGTACAGGTACTGCAGCTTCGGGAACGAAGTCGCAAGGCGAATGAAAAAGGCGTCGTTTAGGAAATCGACGCTGGCGTCGCACAAATGAAGGTGAGTGAGGTTCGGGAAGCACACGAGAGCAGCGATGAGACAGTCGCACGAAATGGTGCGATTCTCCTTGACCAGGAGGGTGGTGACGTGACGCTTTGCGAGGTGACGCCAGCGACGACAGACAGATGCGATGCGGAGGTTGTAAGCGGCGTCTGCCACAGCAGGAGGCGTAAGAGGAGTCGGAAACTGAGTGTCGCTCTGCTGGTAACGTGGCTCGTCCGCATTCGCAGATACGAAAATCGAAGGAGGGAGACCGCACCCATCGCCTACGTCGGGTCGTTTGGAGATTTTAGGGGAGGCCCATAAGATCTCAACGAGGAGCTCATCATCTAGTAGGTCGTTGATGCACGTGCGCGCCATATCTCAGGTATAAGCTATGACAGGGGAAGAAAAGAAAAAGCGTGAAACGCCCTTGTTTTGAAATTGTGCTCGGAACATTCTCCTCTTGATATAGCTGTTGAACATGGCAGACTCAGACTTTCTGCTGAATCTCGTCCCTTGGATGGGGATAAAACTGGGCGAGACATAGTGGGTGACGTTTCTGCCTCTGAAACCCTGAACAGATGGCACGTGACGCTCGATAATCCCAACATGCACATACAATGCTCATCCCAAGGCAGGCGCGACAGGTGGCTTCCAGTTTCTAGTAGCATACTAAAGGCGTGGCAGCGCGATCTACAATGACAGGAGAATAATGTGTGTGTGTGTGTGTAGTGATGATGTGGAGAGAATTACCGCGGCACGGGCTTCGGCACTGGTAATTTTTTATATCGCGGGGCATTTTTTGTAAAACCCGAAATGCGATCCCGCCACCTTTCACCACGCGGTTTCCGCGCACGCGTCATTTCGACATCTCGAAATGTAGTGTAGCAGTTCATGTAGGGTCAGATCGAATTTTCTATCTAGACCGTCTGTCTCATCTCCAAGAAAGTTGGGACCAAACCACTCAGTTTGTCACGCGGTATTCCCTTCCAAACCTGCCTAGTTGGTTCGACGTTCAATCCAAAATCATGACGTGTACTTTAGCACAGCGCGATCAACTTCGGTTAATTTGAACTAAACGCCCATGCTGACGCGGCAGGTGTTGATTGATAGTAACAAAAGCCGCAGCGCGAGCATGGTAATAAACACAAGTTCAGAACACTACCAACGGAACAAATCGTGTTGTCACACGTAAGCATGTCAATAGCACCTCGACGTTAAAAGGCGAGGAGAGTCGATATACGCCAAGCATTCCGCCTGTACATAAGATTAATTAAATGATGATAGATATAAAACTGTGAACATATCTTACTTTGGCTAAATAGTAGTGATATTTGTTAATATCCAGATTCTTCATAGTCCAAATACATGAATGTTATTGGAGGCATGTACACAAGTTTGTGAATATATTTAAATATGTGTCTATGACTATATAAGTTTTATTGTCCAACAATATTAATTGTTCAAGAATGCAACGAATTATTCATGTCACTAAAGATTGAACGTGAGTAACTATGTAATTTCTCACTATGAATAAGTAAGGACATCAAGATGTCAGTAGAGCTACACTGTGAGATCCCCGATCGATCCTAGGGGGGGTTACAGGCGCGTTTGCCTGGGGGGTTATGGGCGCACTGACCCTCTATTGAAACAAGCCCTTTTATCCCAATGGTCTAGTGGTTGGGATTCTGACATGGTATCAGAGCGGTCTCGGGTTCGAATCCCGGTGTATGCACATGTTGGCCGTTGCCACTGTGCTCAGTCCTGGGCCTCCCAGTGTGGGGGAGTGTCAGTAGAGCTACACTGTGAGATCCCCGATCGATCCTAGGGGGGGTTACAGGCGCGTTTGCCTGGGGGGTTATGGGCGCACTGACCCTCTATTGAAACAAGCCCTTTTATCCCAATGGTCTAGTGGTTGGGATTCTGACACAAGATGGTGTATTACAAATACATAATGCATGCATAATGTAACTGCACATAACGCTTTCGAATAGCAATTTTGAAACTTAAATGTCTGAATATGAACCTTTTAAAGTGAAATATCATGCAGGAAATGACATTACTATTTTCAAAATATTTCCAGAGCAGTTATTGTAGTTCAATGTCAGAATATTATGCTCTAGTCTGTAGTGGGGTGCTCTATAGCGAGTACAACCCTTCTAGGGTTTGCTATTTGTATCCTCATTCTTGCTAGTGCAACCCCTCTTCTTCCTACTATTTTAACATGCTATCAGAGCAGGTCGATCCCCTTGGATCGATCCTGTGGGTGGTCTTACCACCTCGTTGCTTCCGCTGCAACTTCCACTGCTACCCTCTGTGCCGCACGCCCCGTGGCGTGCGGCAGTTTTTCTTCCCGCCGTGCGCCCCGAGGCGCGCGGCGGTTTTCTGCCCGCCGTGCGCCCCGTGGCGCGCGGCGGTTCTCTGCCCGCTGTGCGCCCCGAGGCGCGCGGCGGGCTTCTGCCCCGTCACTCGGCGCGTCGCCCTCGGGAGGCACTGCGACGGGCGACGGGGACCCGCGCGTCGCCCCCCGTCGCCCGTCGTGGCCTGCGCGCGGCCCGTACAGGCTGCGCGCGGCCCGTACAGGCTGCGCGCGGCCCGTAAGGGCTGCGCCAGGCCCGGACGCGGCCCGTACGGGCTGCGCCAGGCCAGCGCGCGGCCCGTACGGGCTGCGCCAGGCCCGCGCGCGGCCCGTACGGGCTGCGCCAGGCCCGCGCGCGGCTCGGGCCGCCTGCGCGCGGTTCGGGCGGCTGTGCCAGGCCCGTGGGCGGCCCTTTCCTCGCTGCCCCTGCCCTCCCCGCTGTCCCCCGTGCTTCTACTGGCGCCCCACCCCTCCTACAGCCCGTTCTCCTGAATTAGGGTTTGGGGGTGAGGGGTATGGGGGTGAAGCCACTGTGTGCCGTTCCCTGCTCCTCCTCCTCCTCCGTCTCCTTGTGCTGCAGCTGCCGCTGAGGGGGGGTAGACTTGTTGGAGCCGTTGGAGTGGTACTAAGGGGGGGGTGAAGGGGGAGTGGAGCTAGCGGTGTAGCAGCGGGTGTGTGAGAGGGGTGTTTGGCAGCTGGGGGAGGTTAAGTGGAGGCAGCAGTCTTGTCGTCAGCAGCACCAGCAGTCCGGAGGCTACAATCTCCGGTAGTCGCCAGTCGCCTGTGAGTCAGTTGCTCGTCTGCCGCTACTTTTAGCCGCGGAGCCAGTTACTCCTGTAGTCCGGGCCTTTGCTTCGGTAGCCACTGAGCCAGCAGCTCGTCTGTGTGTCTGCAGCGTCAGCAGTCGCCTCCCATCTTCTCTCCCCCACAGTCTTTCCTCCTCCTCACTTGCCCTCTGTGACTACCACTAGCTTTGCTCATAATTGTGAACTTTAAACTATTGCTTCTTGAACTTGTGCTCAGAATGTGTGGTGACATTGTGATCCACCCTGAGCTTGTACTGCTTTACTTGCTCTGCTGATTACACCCCACTTTGGCTATGGGGGTGTGTCAGAATATTATGCTCTAGCCTGTAATGGGGTGCTCTATAGCGAGTACAACCCTTCTAGGGTTTGCTATTTGTATCCTCATTCTTGCTAGTGCAACCCCTCTTCTTCCTACTATTTTAACATTCAATTGACCATAGAATGAATGGATTGCATGAATACATTCGAACAAAAAACATACCCCAACACAGTATACATAAACTTCAACCCTTACACAATTGGCTATTATTACTTTGTTGGGGTAGGGCAAGAATTGCCATTTACATACACTATCACAATATGTACGTTCCTCCTCCCCCACCCCCCCCCCCCCCCCCCCCCCCCTTTCTAAACCAAGAACAGGTGCAAAAGAGTGATGCCATGCAAAAGAATATTGTACATTCATCTCACGCCATTATTTAGAGTGAGGTTTGAGTTAATAAAATGGTTTATATATGATTTCGTTTTTATTTATCTCTTATTTTGTGCTGTTTACATTGTTACATTTTGTTTTCCTTCTAAGCAGCACGTACCTTCTACTATACTTCTTGTGAAACAGACTATGTATACAGTATCGAGCTCTCAAAGATACCTTGTTCACAGTTCACCCTTCAGTTCAACGTGTTCACTTTGATAGTATGACTCGGCGCTAATCTATTGGTTGGTACATGATCAAATTTCAAACAGATGGTGACGCGTCGGTCGCAAGTACACGCACGTGCCAGCGTGTTCATAATCGAGGCGCTCGACACACTTAACATTTAAATTTTGAACTTCGCCAATCGTATCGCGACACGTTTAACCTCGACTGTCTGACACAGTGAACCGAAGCACACTGTCGAACCTGTTCGCGCTCGACCCTGGCCGAACCTGCATTCCACAATGTGAGGAGCGAATTGACCAATCGGTTGATACTGCGTGGCAGTGAAGTTCCGCGTCAACCAGCAAACTGCCCACCGACAAAATGGAAACCCAAAAAACAACCCTAAAAGTGTTTATATAAAGCGAAATGTCGCGAGCGCGGAACGAGCGGGATAAAAGGTAGTTGGATCGCGAAACAGGTTTTTGAAAAAATTGAGCGCGATGAAAAAAAATCACGAAACCAAATCCCGTGCCGCGGTAATTCTCTCGATGATGTGTGACCCCATTGCCCAAGTTGAGCGACGCAACGCAAGGAGCAAAACCAGGTGTTACCACTGAAGAAGAAGAATCATTTCCGCATGGCGTCAGCTGGCTGCTGGCACATTTAAAGCTATCCCAACCTGACACAAGCCATTCAAACCGAACCGAAACCTCGAGATCTCGCATTGCAAAGGGAGGGTCACAAATCAGCCGCTCGAAATCTTCACAAACACATCTCATGCGATGATGTTTCCCGCCTGTTCTTCATAAATATGCACTCCACAGAACCGTTTATAACCAAAGAGTAAATTGATTCTCAGGGCGATCGAAAATCACTTCTAGCTCAGCAGCAACTTTCTCCAACATATTTAGTCTTTCTAGTATTGGCACGCGACAAGAGTTTCTTTCGGCATAGACTATTAAAGCCGGCGGCCCAAATTGTTCATGCTTTTAAAAGTTGACCAGAGGGAGTTTTTCTGGTGTGGGCTTTGGCGAGAGTTTCCGATTTCGTCTAGGTTCGTTTTTTTCGCGAGACCCAGTCAACCCTCGGTTTTCCCCCTGGTGAGTGAATCTGTCTTCGAAAGTCCCAAATTGCAAGTGCGTGACTTTCAAAAGCTTGGACACTCAACTTCGTCAAGTTTTAAAAACTTGACCCTCGCGGCCCGCAATTTGGGACGCGGGCTTTAAGCCAGAGTGATATTAAAATCGATGTGCGTGAATCATCACCGGCGCAACTCACCTAACACTCCGCCCGCTACCGAAGCCGGAGCTATCACCCGCGAGCAGCTTAAACCAATGTCCAGTACTTTACGGCGCCTTCCGCGGCGCGGCAGTGATCCGAAAGGGCACGGGCAGCAGCAGCGTCGAGTCAGTTCAACATACCATGATATGTCCTAGGTGTAGGTGTCTCTGTTCGGCCTCTCGTGCTGATACAGCGCTGCTGGCGGACACGATCGACCAGCAGAACGTACGCGGAGATCCGCGGATCTCCGCGGAACTGGGGACCCGCAGTGTCACTGCTGGGACCCCTTCGGATCGTTCGCAGAGGGGCGTTGTTGGTCGCACGCCTTGTTTCGGCGGCCCCTCTCTCATGCTCGGGCAGATCCGGCATCGAATCCCGGGTTGTCGCACGCTCGGGAATTCGGGCAGATATTGGCATGCTGGCGATGAGCCACATGCAGAGGCTATTTCGGGTCTTTCTCTGAGGCGTGGGAGATGCCATGGAGCCATGCTTTGGCGGTCTCAGGAATGGTGAGAGCGATATTGGGATCAGAGGTGATCGTGGGAAGGTACGCCATCGCATGCTGCCATGCGGCGTCCCTTGCAGCCACGTCATGTGATGCCACTCACACGTGTGTCATGCTCCTTCCCCTGTGGCTCTCATGCACTTGATGGCTCCCTGTCCACCTTATCCCCTCGGAATGATGCACCTTCTCCGCTCATCCGTGCCTATCCCCCTCTGCCTCCCCTCCTATCCCCTTCATTTACTTGTGCATTTCCGTATCTCGTCCTCAATCCTCGCGTCTCTGCCCTCCCCCCCCCCCCCCTCACCCCTCCCCCCCTACCCTCCCCCTTCCCTGTTCCTCTTCTCCCCACCCTTGGCTCAAGATGGTAGTACATAGGATGCGGGATCCTGCGTCCATATGCCTGCTCACAAGCACCATCTAAGCATGCCTGCTGCTCTTATCGCTTCGCTTTGGTTAGACTTGCATGGAGGATTGGGTGAGTGTAGTTTCGCCCCATGAACAAAATGCGAGTGAAGGCGGATGGTGCGAGGTGATGGAGTGGAGGTGATCTTGAGTGCTCTGCTTCTAGTGGCGGCTCGGCGACCGATAGCAAAGAGCGGGTTGTGAGAATGAAGGCGGAGGGATGGGTTTGTGTCAAAAGGCGGAGGTGGATCGTCCGAGTAAAGGAGGTGACTTTTGAGTGTTCTGCTGCCAGTGGCTGCTTTGAGGTCGATAGTGAAGCCGCAGGCTTCGTGGAATCCGATTGGTCAGTCTCGCGATGTTGGCGAGATTAGCGACCCTGTGTACGCACAACAGGGAAAGGATAGGTAAAAGATAGGGATATGGATAAAGAGAAGCAGAGGGAGAAGGAGCGGAGGAGGCAGCAGGCTCTGCGGCAGGCAGCGAGACGAGCAGGGACAACGCCAAGCAGCACAAGCGCGGCACAGGTGGCGACGGGCAGGGCGGGAACGGGAAGGAGGGCGAGGTAATGGAAACGGGAGCGGTGAAGGGGTGTGAGGATGGGGTGAATGAGTCACTCGAGTAACTCGCTGGCGACGGTGGGAAGGGGGTGTTTGACAAGCTGGGTGTCGCCAAGGTGGGACTCTTTGAAATTCCCCTAGGATAGTTTTTTTGCCCCATTCCCGCTCCAGTTACCTCCCCTCCCTTCCCATCCATTCTGCTGCGCACTTGTGCATCTCCCACTTCCCTCTCATAAGCCACTGCCCTTTTCCCTCCTTTCCCCTTCCTCGCCTTCCTCCCCAGCTCTGCTCCACATCGCACCTGCGTCTCCTACACCCACGTCTATCCCAGTGCACAAACTCCGACCCCCACAAAAGGGGCGCACTGTTCACCAAGGGCCGAGGCATCATCCCCTCCCCTCCCCATACCCTCGAGCTCCCCCTCCTTTCCCAGCCCCCCCAGCTCCGCACCTGTTTATCCTGTCATCAATGTCTGCCTAACGGATACCCTACCCCTCCCAGCTCCTCACTTGCTTCTCCTACACCTTGTCTTTGCCACGGGTTCCTGCCTCCACAGTGTCCGCACTGCTCACCGCCTCACAGGGGCACCATCCCCTCCCCTCCCCTCACGAGCAGTCCGAAGCTGGGCAGGGCTGCTGGGTGCCCCGTGGTGGTTTTTGAGGGCGGACGAGCAGAGGGAGAAGGACATGCGTTCTGACCTGAGCCATTTGTGAGGGGCAGTGGGCTGGGCTGTTTGACACTTATTGAGCCACTGATAGATCACGGGTGAGGCCAATCTGGATGGGGCTGCTGGTGCCTTATTCCTCCTTCTCCCCATTCCCCCCCAGTTCTTCACCCGCCTCTCCGACACGATGTCACAAACTCATGCTCCTACGGCACTGTCCTGTCGCCCACATCCCTCCTCCCTAACTCCGCATCTGCTTCTCTTATTCCGTTCCGGCTTCTGGCACATGGGTTTGCGCCCCTACAGCACTGTGTCCAGTTGCCTCCCCTCCGCTCGCAGTTCCTGATTCCTTCTTCCAACCCAAACCCCATTTGCATTCCCCCCACTCACCTGGCCCCCATCCCATCCACTCAGCTGCGCATTTGCGTATTCCACACCTCATTGTCTTGTCACCCTTCCCCTTGACCTCTTTTCCCTCTTCTTCCCCTCCCCCCCTTAGCTCCACTGCTTTTCCACCACAGACTCACGGACTCACGCCCCTACAGCACTTCCTCCCACATCGTTTCTCCCCGCATCCACCGTTCCGGCCCATAGCTTTGCGCCCTTACGGCACCGATTCCCACGTCCCTCTTATAAGCCACTGCCCCTTTTCCTCCTTTCTCTCCCCTCCCCTTCCCCCCCCACTTGGTACCGCACCTACACCTCCCACACCCACGCCATCTGGCCCATGGACTTGCACCCACAGATAACCACCCACGTCTGCCCCACTAGCCGGACTCGGCCCCCAAAGCGCGGGCGCACTCTTCACCACGACATTATCCCCTCCCTTCCCCATACTCTCTCCCTTCCCAACCCACCCCCCCCCCTCTCCCCCACCACCACCCCCGCCTCCTCCATTTCCCCACCCCCCCCAACTTTGCTCCTGCTTCTCCTACACCAACGTCTGCCCCACAGATTCTTGCCCCTACTTTGGCGCTGCACTGCTCACCCCCTTACTCCCCCGTTCACCTTCCCCAACCGTCTTCCCGTCCACCCACCCCCCAGCTCCTGTGTCTTCCATGTGAACAAATGTGCTTCGCAAATTTCTGCCGCTACGGTGGCGCCGCACTGCTCTCACCCACGCACTGTCCCCTCCCCATACCCTCTCCCTCCCCTCTCCTACGCTGATGCATGCGCCTATCTGGATTCCAGCAGCTACGGTAGCGCCGCACTGCTCTCACCCGGTGCGGTCCCTTCCTCTGCCCATACCCTCTCCATGTCCCCTCTTCCCCTTCCACACCCCCAGCGCCACACCTGCTTCTCCCAGTCTGACGTCTTGCCTACAGATTCTCTGCCCATACGGTGTGGACGCATTGCTCTCACCCACGCGCTGTCCCTTCCTCTCCCCTTCCCACCTCACCCAACGCTTTTCCTGTCTTACCACCAGCACCGCACCACACCTGCTTCTCCTGCCCCGGTTTCCTGACCCGTCGATTCCCGCCCACAGTGAACCTGCTGCGGGCTGCTGAGGCTGTGCATTGCTAGATTGTTCCTAAGTCTTAGAGTGGCACCTAAAATAATGTGACGGGGGAACCTGCACAATGACCGCTCCTTGCCTGTGCGCCCCTGCAACATGGTCGCACTGTTCATGGGGAACCTGCGGGCTGCTCAAGTGCACTCCTTGCCACGGCTGCAACACTCCTTCCCTTCACCACCCATTGCCCTCTCCCCTTCCCCCTCCACTCTCTCCCCTCCCAGCTCTGCATCTGCTTCTCCAACACCGATTTCTGCCCCACCGACTCCCGCCCACTTACAACACTGTCTACCACATCCCTCTCATAACCCACTCTGCTGTTTACCCTTTCCTCCCTCTCTCCTCCCCCCTCCACGCCTGCTTCGCCCACACCAACTTCTGTCTCGCCGACTCCCACCCCCACGGCTCCGGCGCACTGTTCATTCCCACAGCAGCGCGGCAGGGGCTGCTGGCGTGGCAGAGGCGCAGGGAGGCTGCAGGTGAAGTTGGGCGGGACTGTTGGAGTCACGAGGCCGTATTTTTCCTGAAAAACGGACAGAGGGAGGAGGTGCGTGATGAAAAGTATGCAGGCAAGTTATGGTCACTTGGTCAGCAGCAGGCAACGGGTTGCTGGGTGACCCCATGGCAACTATCAGCTATTTTGCATGGACGAGCAGAGGGGGAAGGAAGTGCTCTGAGGGGTATTTTTGAGAGAGGGTAGTGGGCTGCTTGGTAGGGTCTTGAGAGTCACTAGCGGGCAACGCGTGAGGCGAGGCTGGGTTGGGCTGGTGGGTGCCCCGTGGCCCTGTCACATTACTGAACGACACGCAGGGAGAAGGCGGTAGGCTGTAAAGGACTGTGCTGGGTGACAGTTGGGTCGCTCTCAGGTCAGTGTCAGGTCAGTCCCAGATAGTCTCAGGTAGTGTGCTTGAGGTTTTTCTTAGTTGTGACAAGCTCGAGCCTCGAGGTTGCTTATGGGCTGCGTATGGGTCACCAGTAGGTCACTCTCTGGTCAATCTCAGGTGATTCAGGTTTTTGAGGGTTTTCGTGACAAGCTGGAGATTGATATGTGAGAGGCTGGGTGCCCTGTGGCAGTTCATCTGAGGGAGACCCGGCTGAATCTATGATCTGCATGTTGTTCAAGGTGCCCGAAACTCCGCGCGTCCCGCTTGCTCTTAGGCTGAATGTCCTGCGGCAGTGGTATCCAACGGGGCAAATCGGGATGAAAAAGGTGGAGTGACACTCTAGAACATCCGTCTTTCACCCCCTTCCCATCACGCACCCACTTCCCTCTGGCCCCTCCTCAACTATCCATCCGGCCTCCCATAGTGCATCCAGCAGCGTGAAGGAAGAGTGTTCTTGAGACATCACAAAAGCACTCTTCTTTCCCATGGTGCATCCGCCAGCGTACATCATTCACCGTCTCTCTCTCAGCAATCCCACCTTTCTCTCTTTCTGGCATCCCCGTGTGCATAGTGCAAATGAATAGCTCTGAAAGGGGTGAGCTTAGAAATCGGAGAGGCGTGCAAATCTTTGCTTGATTTACCTCTGCCTTGCTCTCCTTTCATGACGTCACACCACTTCTTCTCATTGCCTTCACCTGGCATTGATTCACGTGCACAACATCGCCAATGCCTAGCACCAGCTCTCTGACCACTTCCCAGTTACAATCTCTTAGTGTTCAATCGCACGGGCATGGTTAGGATTCATGGTCATCATCTGTGAGCCATCGTCGATGCGCTATCAGTTTTGTGAACGACTCCGGTGAGTTCGAGCAATGCTTCCTGTTTCCAATGTGGACGGTTAAGGTTTGTTTCCTTCCTTCTTTAGTGCAAGCTGCTCTGCAGTCATGACTGTGCTTTTCCCGCTTGGCTGCAATTTGAACTCCTCTTAGCAGCTCCTGCCTGCCCTACCACCTGCACCACCACAGTCATCCATCGCCATCACTAGCAATCTCTGTCTCACCAGATGACTCTCCCATCCTGACATTGACCATCTCTCTATGGCTGGCAGGTGCAAGATGGCTGTCATTTGACCACTCTATATCACCTCAACTCGCATCGCATCCATGAATCACATTGCAGGCAGTGCCGTGCCGCTACCACACAAAGAAGGTCAAACTCGTGCAGCAAATCCTGGATGACTTCCAATCTGCAGGCCGCAGCATCTTGAGTCGACAGAAATGCCATAACGTTCCGTATGAGCTGTTCCATTGGTAGATGTGGATACGCTGTGACACGTAAGCATACGATACCGAAAGATTGGCCCATCAAGCCCATGTGGGTGTGGTGTGGTTCTGTAATACCAGTAACTTGCTGACATTGAACAGCTGTGCATGATGTCCCACAACAATATGCTGTCACTCTAGCCCCATTCAGTAACTCCTAACCTAGCTGACTAGCTGGGTGCTTGTGGGACCAACCATCACCAATCACACAGGCTACCAGATCTGCTCAAGATGTGCTTGGCGATTTCTCCGCCCATCTCGCCCGCCTGCTGCCTCCGCCGCCCCTTCTCCCTCTCCCTGTACTTTCTCCTTCTCTTCATCCATAACCATATGCTTATCCATATCAGTATATTCTCTGCTGCCAGTGTAGCCGTAGCCGCGCTCATCATCAGCTGCTGCACACATATATGAATACGAGATGAGGATCAAGAGGGGAAGCCGAATCCGAATCCAAATCCGAATTTGTGAGTGGGTCACACCAAGACACTCCTATCGAGCATCAGAAGGAACAGGAGGCTTGAGCAGCATGCTCACGGATTTGAGTCAGCTGCTCTGATTTCGGCGGTAACGCGTGCCGAGCTGGTTGGTTCTATCGAGTCTCGAGACTGGAACAGGAGCGCAACCAGGAGTTGATTGACCTTTGTGTGTGGTTCAAAAATGAGCTCAAACAGAACGTTCAGTCAACCTAAAATGTTGGTCGCGTTTGCCGCGGCTCGGCCTTCCGCGGCGAACCAAATTTTACGTGTTCACCACGAACAATCTAGGCGCACACACAAAAAAAAAAAAACCCTGAGACGAACCGAACAGGTGTTCTAGCCTAGGCTAGAGTTTAAGGTCCCGTTACGTTGTATTGTAAGCATGTGAAACAAGCTACACTCTCCCTGCAATGACAGTGCGCACGGCATCAGCGCGCTCATGGGCACAGTTGCACTCACCCCATTCATATGTGAGTCCATCCACAGCTACAAGAGCAGTAGGCACGAGCAGCCATGCGAAGTGGCATGTGTGAGCAGCCATGGAAAGCTTGGGTGCTAGCTGCCACCTCCCCTTGTGTGCCGTGGGCCTCCTTGATCTGCAGCCTCAGCCCTGAGATGGGAGGTACTACGAGCAGAGGGGGACGTGGAGGAGAGGGGGGGGGAAGATGGGAAACAGTTGCTGACGCCAACAAAACGTTTCGCTGTTGTGACACAATGCGGGAAATAGTGAAACACGAAAAGCTGAAGCATAGCACCAGTGCTCCTTGCAACCCTCTGACTCACCGTCTCAAAGCGTATGGCATCTCCGACGTCTCAGAGAAAAGGCACCTCACAGGGAAGCCTGAAACTTCACATGCCTGTGCATCGGCAGCATATCATCATCCAACCGAAGCGAATGGCGCTTAGCGCGAGGCTCGTGACATCCCAAAAAAGGCGTGGCTGGTTGGGCATGAAGTTTTTAGGGTTCCGAAAGGTTACCTGGGTGCGACTTACGGTTCAGTTACGAGAGGGTATGTTTGGCGATGGGCGCTTCGGGAAAGTTGCCCAAAGTTACCTGGTTTGTTTGGGCGCCAATGGCTTCGCAACTGTGATTCGCTGTCGGTTCGAAGTTACGTGTGGGTAAGTTTTCGCCAATCGCTTTGACTACAGTGGCTGGTTCGCAACCGTGTTAGAACAAATTTCGATAGCTGTATAGGGAATACTGAAACAATGCTATGAAAAACAATGCAAAATCCTTATTCTCTTGAAAGCTCTGAGTCTTGTGTTACAACATAAGCAAAATTACAATCGAATAGGAATTTGTGCTTTACTCTGGAAAGTATGAAGCATGCCATGAACAAATATAATATTCGGAGGCTGAAAATAATTGTTCGCATGAATTTTTCTAATGTGGTTAGATATGTTTTTTTTTCCTATCCATTTCTTCCCCATAGATGCATTAAAGTGTTGTGACCTCACCACTTGAGTTTCAATAAATTTCTAGTAATATCTTAGGTTGTAGTGCAAATTGGCGTGCTTCATGTTGCTCATCGTTGCGATATTTTCTCTGCTCAATTGTATGAAACAACATATATTTCTACCAGATGATGCGAATGGCACAAGATTTTGTCTAGCATCCTTGCATTATAGTGAATGCTTGAATGATCAAGAATATATTTGTTCAAAATGACAAATCGACGTCGATACAGCACCGCGTGTCGCACTGGCCCATCCTTGCGCGGTTTTTCTTGTTCAATTGTTTGAAAAACCAGATCTTTATACGAGATGCTGCGAATGGTAGCAAATATGTTCAGCATCTTTGCAATATAGTAAATGAACGAATGAACAAGATGTTCCTAGTTTAAAGTGACAAACAGACTTCAAGACAGCACCGCGTGTCGCACAGGCCTATCCTTGCACAGTTTTCCGTGCTCAGCTGTTTGAAACACCATATCTTCCTACCATATGCTGCGAATGACACCAAATCTGTCAAGCATCCTTACAATATAGTAAACGAATGTTTGATCAAGAGAAAGCTTGTTTAAATGACAGACAGATGTCGAGACAACACCGCGTGTCGCATAGGCCTATCCTTGCACAGTTTTCCGTACTCAGCTGTTTGAAACACCATATCTTCCTACCAGATGCTGCGAATGACACCAAATCTGTCAAGCATCCTTACAATATAATAAATGAATGTTTGATCAAGAGAAACCTTGTTTAAAATGACAAACAGATGTCGAGACAACACCGCGTGTCGCACAGGCCTATCCTTGCACAGTTTTCCGTGCTCAGCTGTTTGAAACACCATATCTTCCTACCACATGCTGCGAATGACACCAGATCTGTCAAGCATCCTTACAATATAGAAAATGAATGTTTGATCAAGAGAAACCTTGTTTAAAATGACAAATAGATGTCGAGACAGACTGCATGTCGCACAGACATATCCTTGCACAGTTTTCCGTGCTCAGTTGTTTGAAACACCACATCTTTCTACCAAATGCTGCGAATGGCACCAAATATGTCAAACATCCTTACAATGTAGTAAATGAATGTTTGGTCAAGACAAACCTTGTTTAAAATGACAAACAGATGTCGAGGCAACACCGTGTATCGCAAAGGCCTATCATTGCACAACATTCCTTTCTCAGTTGTTTGAAACACCATATGTTTCAACTAGATGCTGCGAATGGCACCAAATCTGTCAAGCATCCATACAATATAATAAATGAATGTTTGATCAAGAGAACCCTTATTGAAAATGACAAATAGATGTCGAGATTGTTAGAATCACTAGTAGCTAGGTGAGGAATGATGATTAGGTGAGGGAGAGGGGGTACAAGAGTGTCGAGAGAGTTGGGTTGTACCCTCTAAGGTGTGACCCTACACAACCTAGAGTAAGAACATAACAATATGTTTTGACACACCCCCATAGGTGAAGTAGGGGATAGCCAAACCTAACAGTGGTCACAAGACCAGTCAAGCAACAGAACAAGCAAGGCAAAGCCCAGGGTGGATCTCAAGGACACCACACAA